TGTGGTGTCACAGCTCACAGCAACCTCAAACTCTTGGGCTTAAGCGATTCTCTTGCCTCAGCCTCCCAAGTAGCTGGGACTACAGGCACCCACCACAATGCTTGGCTATTTTTTGTGCAGTTGTCATTGTTGTTTAGCTGGCCCGGGCTGGGTTTGAACCCGCCAACCTCAATGTATGTGGCTGGCCCCATAACCACCGTGCTATGGGTGCTGAGTCTCATGTTTGCTTCTTTTTTTTTTTTTTTTTTTTTTTTTTTTTATTGAATGGTAACTGTGTACATTGATGTTTGCTTCTTAAAGTTGTGGAATACTGTACTTCATCTTGGGCCATGTGTTGTAATTTTATAGCCAGACCAGTATCCTTGCTTGTTTTTATTATTTCTCATTTTTAGTTGTTATGAATCATGGAGTAGTAACTAGCCACAGATGTGTATCTTTGAACATAAGCTATTGGTTTATTTGTAGGATACACTTCTAGGGTGGAAATGCTAAGCTCAAGAGTAAGTTTGCATAGGTGAAGGTGAGCTGACCATTAAAGAAGTTATCCAACTTAGTGTTCTACTGGTAACATGAGAGAATGCTTGATTTCATACATTTCTATAATAAAAATAAAGATTAAGACAACAGACCCGGTGAGCCCAGATCCCAGTTTTACCTGTCGACTGGAGGCCAAGGCTGTTTTGTCCATTCCTCATCCACTCCCGCATTATTTTGAAGCCAATCTGAGATGTGAAATCATTTCCTACATAAATATTTTGGCATTAATATCTAAAAGATAAGGACTCTTAAAAAAAAAAAACATAATCATAATACCATTCCCATACCTAAAAACAGGACAATAACTTCTCAGTATTACCAAAGTCAGCATTCAAATTCCCTAATCTTCCTATACTGTTAAAAATTCTATAGTTTATTTGAATCAGATCCAAATAAGGCAATTAGTTATATGTCTCTTTTTTGTTTTAATGCCCCCCCTTAGTTTTATGTCTCTTAAAACTAAGCCTCTTTTTAACTTATAAAGTAACTAAAATTTTTTATTATGAAAAATTTCAAGTATAATGAAAAGTAGATAGAACGATACGGTTCCTAGCTTTCATTTAAATTTCTTTCACTAAAAGATTGAATATTGTTCCTAGGTTTAAAACCTTTTGAATTTTCTGTGAACTGCCTGCTCATGACCTTTTCCTTCTTTCCTATTTTATTTTGTCCTTTTCTTATCGATTTGTAAGAGTGCTTCATTATTAATGAAGTTAGCAGTCATACATGTGGCAAATATTTAGGCATTCTGGGTAGGGGAAAGACTTAGCACTTTCTCTTTTCTGAGATCTTGTAATATTTCTTGTCTATACTGCCCTCAGGCAATCACTTGATCTCTCTCTGGTCTTTGTATTTAGATGAGATTGGGTGCATTCAGGGTTATATGGCCGTAGACTGGTCTTTGTATTTAATAAACGCATACGTAGTTGTCTTCATGTTGGGCCCTGTCTCATTGGCTCAAGGTAGAAGCCTCTACCTCCCTCCCTGCACTGAGGCCAGGGCTGGTCTTGCAGGAGGGGCTCAGAGAATGGACGGTGAACCGAGACACAGCCACAGCTTTGTGATACAGTGTCAGGACTGAAAACTACGCCTTGTGGAGCATCTGGGGATGCTCTTTGTGTTTCCTGCAGAGTGAAGGCATAGCAGTCATCGGAGAAATGGCATTAAACCCTAGCACTGGCTGTTAAATTTGAAAATTATGCCAGAACTTTGTGAAGGTCCTCCTAGGGTCTTCCAACATGCCCAGCAGAGCTTCATTTGGTTGCAACAGGGAATTAGATTATGAGAAGCCAAGTGTTCTCTCCTGAAAGGCTGGACCTGTCCAGCTAGGGGTGGGCTGGGAACAGGGTCAGTGCTCTGCAGTGGTGTTTGTGACCTCTTTTGCTTCTTCTAGAGACATAGATGAGACAGAGACCAGACACTTAAGCCCTGAAGACAGCGAGCTGTGTGTTGGGGGTGTGTGCACACGTGTGCTTGTGTGTATGTGAGTACATTTATGCACATGTGTACATGTGTGTACATGTGTGCTTGTGTATACACGTGTACATGTGTGTGTGGCATGTGTGTTTATGTGTGCATGTGTGTATATGTGCCCACCTACTGTAAAGACAGAGGGAAGAAGATAGTCCAACAAGGACTGCTAAAGGACAGTCTATACAAGTTGCTTCCTACCTGTAGGCTCACACAGGAGGAGGTCTACAATAATGCCTTCAGTTTCCCCAACTTTAGGAGTGCAGGACAGAACCCACAGAAAGGGGATAAGGGAGAGCCGTCTGCTGAGCCTGGGATCTGGACCTTGTTGGTGGCACTGGTGATAATTGTGATAACAGCTGCTGGCGTTCTGTGTTCAGAGCCTGCCACCTGCCAAGTGCTGAGCTGTGCACTCTGTGTGCAGTGTCCTCACCAACAAGGGCAAAGCTTGGTGTCCTGGAATCCCAAAGGGATAAACAGGTGATAAAATTGAGAGAAGAGGGCACAGTGTGGGAAGGATAGTGGAACCAGCTCAAGAGTCAGAGAGATGTTTAGGAGAAGTGAGGGCTGCAATACTCCAGTCAGAGGGAACAGCTCTGGCTGATTTTTGCTATTTGGGCCTAGAGTTGCTAGATCTTCAGAATTTTTCGAGAGAAGCTGGGAACGTAGAAATCTTTTCTAATTGGTTTTATTAAGGTGTATTATTTTATTAATAACAAGCGAACTGGGCATGTACACACAAACTATACACATTTTTTGAGGAAACGTCTCACTCTATCACCTAAGCTGTAGTGCAGTGGCATTACCATAGCTCACGCCAGCCTCCCACTCCCAGCCTCCAGTGACCCACCCACCTTGCCTTCCCAAAGCTCTGGGATTACAGGCATGAGCCTCTGCCCTGCCCAATATGCATTTTAAATGTACATATAGTTCAACAAATGCATATACCTCCATGACCACCACAATCAAAATATAGAATAATTCTACCAGTCCCAAAGGGATTCTAGAACTTTCTTTCTTTCTTTTTGCAGTTTTTTTGGCCAGGGCCCGGTTTGAACCCACCACCTCCAGTATATGGGGCCAGCACCCTCCTCCTTGAGCCACAGGTGCCACTAGGATTCTAGAACTTTCATGTAAAATTTTCCTAGATTTTATTAATAAATGTTGGAAACAAGCTAACTTTTTAAAAATGCTATAAGCCCGAGAAACGTGCCCTAAGAAGCTTTTGTTCTCTGAGCTTCTGGGGAAGGGGCTTTATTGGTGATAGCCTTGTACCTGGGCCCTAGCCCAGACTCTGAGGTGAGACAAGGGCCAGGAATCATCTCAGGGCTTCACCAGTCCAGGGCTCAAGACACCCAGGAGCAACCTGGGGACCCAGCAGGAGTCAGACCACATAGACATCACTTGCAAGCCGAATGCGGGGCTGTGTGGAGCGTGATCTTGGGTAAGAGCTTCACTCGCCACGCCCCATGCTAGCATGGGCCATTCAGATTTGAGGCACTGCTGAGCACTTCTCTGGGTCCTGGGCTCGTTTAACACTGATGGATCTTGATCTTAGGCAGGACAAAATCCCCAGTGCTGTTGAATGTCTACTGTGTGTTGGGCATACTTCTTAGGATATCCACAAATTAACTCCCCAAATCCTCCCACGGACTTTATAAGGCAGAGGTTATCACTCCCATTCCGTAGATGAGAAAAGTGAGATGCAAGGGAGTTAATGGTCTTGGCCACGGAGTGAAGGTGAAGTTCAAACCCACCAAGTCTGGCTCAAGAGTCCATGCTCTTGGCTACACTGTAGACTCTGAAGGGGTGGCTGTGGGATCTGCTTGCTCAGCTCCCAGGCAGACATGAATTAATCACAGCACTCGTCTCTTGAAGCATGGACTTATTATTTGACTTCAGAACCAGTAACCATGACCAGCTGATCTGAGTTGCCATTTTAAGAGTAAGTTCATATTCAGTTACTTGTTGAGGTCTAGTCTAATTAGACCCCTTCCTACCTGCCAGCCAGAGGCTGTGCCCAACCTCACCAGCACTGGAAAGCAGCTGGTTCTGGGTTTGGGGCTGAGCTCCTCCTCTGTTAAGTTTTATGACCTTGAGAAAGCCTCAGTTTTCTCCTCTCTAAAATGATAATAGCAGTGTCTCTTTCTTTCTT